GAAGTATAGAGCTAGGCTATAAGCAAGAGGCTGTTTAGTTTATAGAAAGTGAGTCCGGGAACCTTTTTTATTTGCATTGCATAAACTACACTGACACCTTCTGGGCAATATTTAGTTTGTCTTAAAAACACACACAAACACCAAGCTCTGTTTGCTTTATAGAGGTGTGAAGTCATTCTAACTGTTTTCATCTGTGCAAAACTACCAACCGGGTTGATCTTAAAATTCGGTAAGCTTATTATTTAAAGATTGATAATTTGTTTTAGGTGCCTAAAATAATAAACACAAGTCTAATCGATATTTACTGAACTATTGAACTATTTTAATCAACAGGTTATCCGATTACATTGACTCGTCTTTAACAGATCTTAACGCAAAGCTGCGTTGTGACACATTTATTCCACACAGACACATAAGAGACTAAACTTACCTTCTCTCTGATGATTTGTTTGGCGCGCTCATGATGATTAAATCAACAGGGTGGCAGTGAGGAGGCGGTCAAGTGCGACATGTCCAACAGATAGACAACATGTCCAACTCACAGCTGACAGCCGGCGTGAAGCGCGTCACAACCTCCGTTTCATCCCAAACACAGTGTCTGTTTAACTCACTGCAGGGGCTCCCTGTTTCTCTAACGCAGCTTTCATGCAGGTGCATGCCCGCTTATCTGTGCGCGTGTGTGTATGCGAGAGAGGGGGGGGGAGGCACAAAGCGCGAGATAAAGGAAGAGAAAGACACCCACTGTGCTATACATTTCTCACAAAGCCTGGTACAGGTAAACATCACCGCAACAAAATATTCCTCAATTAAGCTGTATTGTGATCATAACTTTAAAATGCCTTAAAAAGGCTGGTTTAAAAGTGAAAGCATACAGAGGGGAGTCAATGACCAGCATTTTTTTTACACTTTATATGTCCACTAACTATGATCTACTTTACTAACAATAAATTATAAAATAACAGTGATATTTAATCCTCTTAGATAAATCTGAGGGCAAACTCTTAGTAAACGGCCTATTAGCTATAGTCATGTAGAATAAGGTAATAATAAGCGCTCAATAATGACCAATAAGCAGCCAGTATGCTACTATTTAGCATGCTAATGAGCGACTATTAACAGTGAATATTGACCTAAGTACAAAAGCACTTAGGCCTTTATGAAATAAGAAGTTTTTTCCATCGTTCTCAGTCTGCCTGTGATTTAAAGCTGAACAGCTGAGGAAGACACGAGTGAGCACTCAGTGTATAACCTGTAATGGATATATCATGATATCTTTTATGAGGGATTTGTCTCCCTAATGTGAAATTAAACTCTCCTGTAACCCCCTTAAAGAAAACAAACAGAGCTCCCCTGATGCCTTGAGGGTACTGAATACTGAGAATGATGCTGTGCAGTCATATTACTAAACTAAGATGTTGAAGATGAATAACTGGCTGAAATGTCATTGTTGAAGTTAAAGCCTGCAGGCTTTCATTTTTATGAATTTATGCCATAGACTGTAAATATTAATGGAAGAAGCCTGAGTGACGTCAGCCATCTGTTCCTGCAAGGGGCTTTCAGTCAACCTAACGACAGACTATATATGCTGTAAAAACAGGTTTTTTGCCGTCATATGTATGTGACTTCCAGTGTTCCTGGAGCCAGCCTCAAGCGGACACTCGACGATCTGCGAGAGTTTGATTCATGCAAAATCTTTACAAACGCTTTAATTCATTACCGCCTCTCAGCCAAAAGCCTTTTTTTGCACTCACAGCAGACTTTTTGATTTGTAAAAATTCAAAATTCAGTTTATTTTTTTAAGAGCTCGGTTCAATTCCATATACTCTAAGCTGTGTCAGCTTGTGAAAGATAGAAAATAAAGTCATTAAACTTGACATTTTGCACTGTGACAAAGTGAAGTGCAGAGGTCATGTAGGAGCTATAGAAGGTGAGAACATGGCAGGGTTAACCGAGGTGGCATCAACAACACCTCATATGTATGTGACCGTCTAATGACCCAGGGCTGACTTCTGCCTCTTTACATTCACAAACAGTAACAGGGCACCTCTCTCAGACGCTTCAGTTGTGCCAGCCAAGAACATCACTAGGCAAAGTATGTTGCCCTGTAAATCACTTGTGCTGAGTACGAGAAATCAACAAAATAACGTTAATTAATGAGCTGCAGATAAACACAGGGTGTAGGGTTGCTTACAGCCACACAGAAACATATGCTGAAGTGGCTTAAGCCTGGCACACACTGGAAGGTTTTTAAACAATTTAAACATGTGAATGACCCCACACATGACGACAAAGAATGGCAGATTTGGGCATTGATTCTTTTTTTGCATTTGTTACATTAAGGGGCTTTGATCTGAGACTCCTTTTTCTCATGATACCCATAGGTGGAAAAAAAATATTCTTTACCTAAAATTCCTCATGCTGTAGGCTACAATTAATGGTCACATATTATCCTCCTTTTCAAGAAGTTTAAATAAGTCTCAGAGGTCCCCAAATCATGTCTGTGAAGTTTCTTCATATTAGTAGGATCATAATATGCTTTTTCCTAGCACTGCCCTTATAAGGTAGAATTAAGAACCAAATGAAGGTCATAATTCATGCTTAACAAGTCAGTAAAGCAGCTGTCTTTACTGACTGTTCTCTGTGTTGTTTTCCAGTATAGACGCGGACCCTTTAATTTTTTATTTTATTTTATGAGTCTGTCTGTATTGTAAACTAAGCATGCTTCAAGATCATGTAAAGCCATGCATGTGTTGTATTACGACGTTATGTACAAGAGGTAACTGTGCTCAGGCCCGGTTAGTCCTGGAGCAGTGTGAGTACAGGCCAGCAGGGGAATGAGGAGGGGGGCAATTGTGCTTCAGTACAGTACAGTACAGGACAGGACAACTGGGCCTAGTCTGAGAGCGCCCTTAATGAATGGCCTTTTAGCTGTAGACTATTGTCATATAGAATAGGGCACTAATAAGTGCTTAATGATGACTAACAAGCAGCCAGTATGCTACTTATTAGCATGCTAATACATAACAAGTTAATGGTGAATATTGTGAAGTGTGTTACCAGCCTTAAAGAGCCCATATTATGAACTTTTTGGGATTCATATATTTAATCTATGTACCTACTTTTGTACGTTCACAATACCTAAAGTTTGAAAAAAGTGTCTGTTTTCATGTACTGCTCCTCCTTGCTCCCTCTCCGCTCTGAGTCTGTCAGCTACGATCTGCTGAGCCCACACTGTTAGACCCCACGTGGGCCAAGTCTGCTCTGATTGGTCTGCCGATCCGCTCTGTCGTTATTGGTCAGTTGCTCAGCACGCTTCTCAGAAGTTTTAACATGAGCTGCAGGGCTTGCCACAACGAGTCAATGGACTTAGATCAGTGATCTCACACTGACAAATTTTTATCGAGGGGGGCTAGAACCGAGCGTTACATGCAGCTAATGCTACAGCTAACAGGAGGACGTAGGAGAAGCCGCGTTTCCGCGGACTTTGAATTTTTGCACATAGATGTGCTTAAACATGCACAGGACACTTGGAAAACACACTAAAGAGCATATAAAACCAGAAAAGGCATAATATGGGACATTTAATAAACTTTTCAGCTGTTTGACATTGTTAAAATATGTCCTAAATCCCGTATATGTTGCAGACAAGAGACAAAAAAAACATCACACTTTGCAGGCTAAGATTTCCAAAATGTGTTTTATTTATAACAAGATTACAGCACCAGTCAGAAGGCAACATTCAGACATCACTTTATATCTGCACACAGAGAATGGTAACAGTTTCTCACCTTCAGCTTATCATGTGACCAGCTTATTGTTCTGAGAGTATCGGCAGCAATGAAACGTAGCACCATTTGAACAGAGACAACTTGAGGAACAGCAGAAGCAAAGTAAGCTGGAGGATAAAAACAGAGTAACTTTGACCAATTTTAAATATCTGCATTTTGCGTATGAGCCTTTTTTTGTTGTTTGATATGAAGTCAAAAAGAAAGTATTCAGTGATAAATAATAAACTGCATGGGTATTTTAGTTGTATTACTTGTTCCATTAAAAATAATTAACTTCTATAAAAAATGAATAACCCAAATCATCAATTTCAGTATCAAACACCTGCACATAGCCTTATGTGTTTAATGGTAGTTTAATGTTTTCTTTATTAAAGGTAAGGTACATATCCTTCAATCTGTCTCAATTAAATTACCTATTTTATCATATTTAAAGCTCCTGTGGGGAGTTTTTAACTGGTTATGAAACAGATTGAAATTGTTAATGACACCTCTTCATAGCCTCCAAAAGGAAACAAAACCCTTCAGTCTAAAGATTGACGATTTATAAATTGTAATTTTTCAATGCCTGTAACTATTGCCGGGGAAGAGGAGAAGATTTTCAGCATCCTGAAGAAACGTCCTTTCTTTAACATTTTACACAGCAATTATTCACAATAAGTAATACGTTTGATTGCTAAAGAAAGAAGAATGAGATTTTTGGACTAACTTCCCATTTACAGGAAAGATCAGTGAAGAGAGAAATGCACTGCTTTGTCAACATGGAGCACCAAAATCGTCACAAACTGAAAGTTCCTCACACAAGTTTTGAAGGTCACATATTACAGTCCTTTTCAAAAAGTCTCAAAGGTTCTCAAAACATGTCTCTGATGTTTCATGTTAGAAATCCACTCTGATCCTGTATTTGATCATGCCTATAAACCCCTCTAGTTCAGCCCTGCTCAGAACAGGCTGTTTCTGTGTCTGTACCTTTAAATGCAGGTGAGCCACGCCCCTCTAGAAGGGCTCGATCTTTCATGCACCATGTCCTATTGTTTACGGTGAGAAGGCAGACTCAGAAGGCAGAACAAACACCTAGATGTGGGAGTGTTACCCAACCGGGGGGAGGGGTTACTGCCCTCTGTGATGTCACAAAGGGAAAATCTCCAAACGGCCTGTTTGAGCACACATTTTCTGAAAAGTGGAGCAGGAAAAGATGGAGAGGATGAACTTTTCTCATAATTGGGGGGTTTGTAGACAGACTTAGGACACTAGTGTTAGAGAAACATGTTATGCACAATATTTGACCTTTAAGTAGCACCTATATGATGATCCAAATATTTAAAAACATCAAAACACTAATATGGCAGTTATGTTTAAATCAGGTCTATGAGTTGTTATTCTACAGATTATAAAACTACATTTGGATTTGATGAAAGAAGTGGAGAAATTTGGCTGGAATTTGACCTATTTTTCAATGAAACCTTCCAGAGTAAAGATCAGGAAATTCAAACTGTTTCCTTTTGACAATAAGATAGACAGATGAGTGAGAGGCCATATGGTTCTGATTTCCTGTGTTGACTGGCCTTAGAAATACCCAGTGTGTTTGTGTGTGAGAATAAGAATGCAGTGAAGAGCGGGAGATGGCTGCAAAGTGAAAACACGACATGACTTAAAAAGGCTTGAGTTTCCTTTTTCCTTCTGAGACATTTGGAAAATAATCTTTGGTGCAAACTCTGCTCACCTCTCGTCTGCTCTACCATCATCATCCTTTCACAAACACCAGACAGAGAAGGGAAATAAAAGGAGCACTCATTTCTTTGGTTGTTTACTGTACGTTTGATTGTCCTTTGAAGGATTTTGTGATGGCACTGACTGCAAGAGAGGCTTTTACGAAGAGGAGGTAGCCGCTGTAAGAGTTAAAACAAAGGTCAGGTGTGGTCCTGGTTCAGGTGTGATGAGAGCAGATTGATGAGGAGTGTGCTGATGTCTGAGGTTGTGTTACGGTCGTCGATGAAGCTGAGGTCAGGGTGGATCTGAGCGCAAAGAGATGAAATAAAAAACATAAGGCTTGTCCTAAATGGAGGTTTGAATGAAAGTTCAAAGTGGCTTAAAACGTACTTTATCCCTGCAGGTGCTTGTGATGATGTTTTTCATAGCCGACTGCATTGTTAGAACTGGTACCTGTGAGTGGAAAAAAAAACATCTTAATGTCAGGCAGATTGATGCTATTTGTAGGTGAATAATAGTGCAGATTTTCTAGCTGTCCACATTACCTCACTTACCCAAGTAGTCCTTGTAGTCCTTGAAGTATTTGTGCCTCAGACCCCGTCCATCTGAGGACAAAAAGGACAAAATAAATGACATCTGCTCTTTAAATCATGAAAATTGCTCTTTTAACTCTTGCTAACATTACACTGAATAGAAACATAAAATAGAAAACAGTCTCTTCTCTTTAGTTTTTTATATATCTGCCAACAGCTTGAGGCGCACATCATAGATTGAGTTTGTCTTCTGTGCTGCCAGGTCATTCCAATTTGTCTATTATTTATGGGCCTATTAACAGGAGAGACTTGGCATCTAACAGCACGTAATCTGCCAAAAGAGACCCAGCCAGACTGAAGGACAGCTGCTGGCACTGCCTCACATCCCGGCTCCATCCCCTGGTGCTGTTTAAGAGCACACTCTTTTGGGGGGGGGGAGTTCCATTAACAGCAGATGAAACAGGGAGTAAGTTAGGAGAATTACACATCTTTTAAGATCTGGATTCAAAGCCAAATCACAATCAAAAGGCTTTACTCATACATACCAGAGTTGGCACGTTGCTTGATGCACTGTCCTCTGTTAGGGATTCCAGCAGCAGGGTTTCCTTGGTTGATTATGTGGCACTCGTAGCCTGTGGGACAGTGAAGAGGCTCATCTCCATCCTCTGTTGTGCTGCAGGCCTCAGCTAGAAAATAAACACACTGTTCAACACAAAGCATGTGCATGAAGATGGGTTTATGTGAGGTTTATTATTATTCATTCTTTGGTTTTGTCTACATCCCTTTCTTCAACCTCCCATGTCTGTTTCTCACTAGTACTTATTGATTTGATTTTCTTTATTTTCTGATATGAATATCAATACTACAAACCTTGTAAAAATCTGCAGAAACCTTTATTCACGGAAGAATTTTGGCTGTTTTCCAGTCAAGGCAAAGACAAGATGCTCTGCCCTTCAGTACATCTTTGGGATCTGTTTTATGTAAGTCTATACTGAGAAAGTGGCAGGAAAGAAAAATGCTTGGTGATGTGCTAATGATATATTAATGTTGGGTCTTTGTATATACAGACAAAATAACAAATAAAGATTGATTGTTTGGTCGATTGACTGATCATTCTATTTTTCCAGGTTTTTCTCCCTAGGTATGTCTGTTAAATGTAGAAAAAGTGAAAATGTACTGTGTTAATCTTAAAGATGGATGCCTAAATGTGACTTTAAAGGAAGAATGAGTAACTTTTTGATCCAGTAGATGTCGCCCTTCAGCACCAGCATGAAACCAAAAAAACTGCTGTTTGGCACTTCAGCTATACTGAATCCTCCGCTCTCCTCCAGCAACACACCTCCAACCCCTCTCCACTTGCGTTCACACGAAGGAGTTATGAATTACTTAATGCACAAGTGGCGGACAAAATTGTCCTTTGATAGAGCTGCAATTGCCTGTGGCCTTGTATTGTTATGTTAGCAGGCTAATGTTAGCATACTTTGTCGCACATTCTTCCTTTAACTGCTATTGTTTTAAACTTATGAAAGCTTTTCATTGAATTATAAAACATCCATGATTTATCTTCTGCAATACCAAAAATAATGACCAAGATATTCACTAATTCTGCAATAAGCAGTGCACTCAGTTTAATAGAACCTGTACTGTTTTGGTTTACAGGCATGCTAGAAATCTGGAGTTTTGAGTGTTTGTTTGGGACTGCAGCGACTGGTTAAGTGTGTTTTAAACTCACCCTGCAGAACCTCCTCGGGACCGTCCAACAGCCAGCCGTTTCCCCCCAACCACCGAGGTTTGGGCTGCACCAGCCAATCCAACACTGTTCACAACACATACACAACGCAATGAAATACCAATAAACAATGTTTAAAAGAGGGGAAGAAACACTTTCACAGAATGAAAAAGCTAGCACTGTTAAGTAAGAGTTAAAACACAAGGTTTTGTCCAAGGTCTCTGATAAGTAACCAAACCCTCCTGCTCTGACCTGGTGGTGGCTGGACTGACTCCAGGCAAGCGTAGATGCAGCCATTGTAGCAGCAGCGTTTATGGCGCTCACACTCGGAGTCTGAGCGGCAGCCCGGCACCTCGCATGCTCTCTCTGGCAGCATCTGTGGTGGTGGTGGACACCGATCATTCTTCTGGTGCTGTGTGGACTGGGGGTGGTTTTGGTACTCATAGTCCTGAGAGACAGAATTAGAAACAAATGTCAAATACATGAATGGAGGATTGCAGATGTGTTGTGTTTATATCCTCCCTCCTTCTCCTTAAGGATGGTGTCCATGCCCTACCAACTGTGAGCCGAAGCTCTGGGATTATCAAAAGCTGCAAGACAATCCAGCAATCCAGTTGAAGTATAAAGAAGCTGAAAAAGTGAACAGCTGCAGGGATCACTGTAAACTCAATGGGTGATTATACAGAAATGGCAAGAAAAAAGAAAGGTCACATAAGTCAACATGGAGCGACATTAAACAAATTGTAAATGGACTGATGTCAGAGGCTGCTAGGTTAAGTGACCAAGTGATGAATCCCATTCATACACATTCAAACACAGAGAACTTAGCAGCAGGAGCAACTTGGGGTCCAGTGTCTTGCCCAAGGACATGTTGCTGCAAGAGCTGGGGAATCAAACCCTGACCTTCTGGTTGAGAAACAACCGACTCTACCAAATGAGCCACAGCAGCCAAGATACAACCACATGTTAAATTTGGCTGGTGATGGGCTATTTGGACTATTGAAGAGAGTTTTCAGTTTTGCTATTAGATGCAATAATAAGTGTTGTATTGACATTGCTGTGACCTTATAACAACAAATGATGTATCATATAGCCTAAAATGCACATGGCTTACCCCAAGGTAACTGAATGCTGTTCTTGGTTTTCTTCCAAAAAACATTAAAACATGCGTTCTACTGTTCTACACGCTGTAGAACATGATCGACTGATCCATTGTAGATCGTAGTCTGTTTGGTGTTAAAGGCTTTCAGGATGAAGGTTTTTGATTGAAGCAGCATATCATGTTAAGAATTTGATTGGCTACAAAAATGTGAGTCATGGGCACAGTCATGTGCAATTGGCCAGAAATACAAAGATTACAAAAAGACAGGTGCCTCCTTTCAACTCAGGCTCTCATTGGCTATCATAATCTGGGAACAGTGAAGAGAAGGCCTTAATAAGCCAAATGAGGGGTCCATCACAAGGTCAGAGTGCAGCCGCCATTTTGATGTATCGCAATCAAAAAAATCATTCATAAATATCGATTGTGAAAGAAAATACAGTGGGATATCAGGCAAAGCCTTGGCAAATTGGAAGCAACTTGTGGATCTTTATGGATGTAATGTGTGTGGATTAAATCTTTCAAGGAAGTTGGATCATGGGGACCCTTGCGGATGAAGCAGGGAATACTGTGATTGGGAGAGTACAGTAAATCTTCAAATGGTAAGTCAAAAGACAGTAACAATCACTGTTTTCAAGTTGAGCAAGAATTTTTTATGCAGTTTGTGTTGCTAAAAGGCACACTTAAGATTCTGATCCGGATGTCCTTGCACAAACAAGTCAATCACAAATAAATGCAAATATAGCATTATGTTAAACTCCATTAACACTTTTTATAAATCTTTTGCGATCCAAACTGAAAAAAACAAACCCTTAGTGAAATAATGTACTTAAAAAGCAGCAAACAGATTGCGTTTGTCAAACACTAGAGGGCAGCAAAGGATAGACATGATCTCTGTCCTGCACAGCAGAGCCACAGCAAAGACATGAAGGCTTGAGTATGCATGCCTGCCTGCTAACGTCTTGATCTGGATTGAGAAGCTGGTTCTCAGTGGGAACAAACACTTCCCACTGAGATGTAGAAGAGGGGAAGAAAGTAGGCCACAGGACACACTTCACACACTTTGGCAGCTTTGGCAACTTTAAGTGTGGACCTGCATGCACATTTGCACAGCACAGCACATGTTTTACAGTGTTGCTGAGAGGATGTCTTTTTGCTTTCAAAGTATAACGTAACAGGATCTGTATGACAGCCATGGTCCCTGTGGTTTAATAGCTTTTACCAAGCTGAAAGTCTTCTCTGACTCTTGCTGATTGCTTTGGACATGTGCGAGTTTATACTCTTTCACAATGTTAGTATCAAGTTGCACAAGGTTTGTGGCGCAGAATAAGCAGTCGTTCATTCTTCTGGGTTATTTACACATCCAAGTCCAAATCCCAAGAAGTATATCATCAGCCTTTGACTAAACAATCCCTCGTATTTTCTCATGCTCTCTGGATTTTCTTTTGTTTAACAAGCTGATGTGTGATCAAGTTTCATGATAATTTCACTGCTTACTTCTTACTGCTATAAACACTAATTAACAAAACCGACACACTGGTCTCCCATCACTTACAGAAACCCAGAAAGAATATAGCAAAGACCTCTAAAGGATGTTTTGTCATGCAGGGTCGATCCTCTTGAGCCTCCTGCACAGAAGGTTATATGTAGCTGTTTGACTATTCACACAATTATTTCCCTTCCCAGTGAAGGACAAATGTGTCTTTTAATTTTTTTGACTTAACTTAAAGATCATAAGTCCTCTGTTGAGAAGTTGCATTTATGGTATTTTGTCATACTGTATGAAGTAAGTTACACAAGCTGCATCACTGAAGAGCAAGCACAAGCACATATTCTTTGTTTCTGAATGTTTACGTTTTAAGTCGTGTGTGGGTGACTTTCTCTGACCTTCCAGTCCCAGCCATTCATTTTGAGGGGGGGTGCATACACAAACACACACACACACACACACACACACAGAGGCACTGGTGTTACTTGTAGGTGACTAATTAGAGCCTGTGGGTTGCACAGGGTCATTAAAGCTGTGCTGTTTGTTTGGCAGACTCGCTGAGAGCTCTTACAAACCAACCAGAAAAATGAAAGCAAATGTTTGGCACTGTGTTGGTATCGCTAACTCTACGTGGGTTCACTTTAAATACCCAATAACTTCTTCTGGCAGCTGATATCTTGGAGACTCCTTTAGGGTATCGTCGAACATAGATCCAAGCTAAGAAATATAGATCGCTACTACAAGGGCATGTGTGTAAGCTCGCCGTCTGGCTGAATCTTATAGTGTGGGTTTTTGGAGGATCGGTTGAAAGTGTCCTTATGTCTGTGGTTTCCCACTTTTTAAAAATCGGTTAAGATTTAAAATCGTCTACTGTATAGCCAGCCTAAGTCACATTTTAGCTTCCTCAGCTGGTTGTGTTGGTCGCATTAGAAGATCCACAGCCGGCGATAGTTTTTTGGTGCAACGGTCAGGAAAAACTATAACGACAGATAATAGTTACTTTTGCATACATGCCTCTATACACATCGACTGCAGACCTTTACTCTTCAGTCATGTCTCTCACAGAGGAAATATTGGTCCACCAGATACAGTTACATCTGTGAATGAGGCCTACAAAGCCTGCTGTGATTGGATAATGACATAATGACTACAACCGTCTCCTCTTATCTCACATCCGCTCCTCAAGCCTCCTGCAAACGTCTGAAGGTCAAGTGTGCCCTTCCTGTTTACAACTGTGTCTTCATTGTGAGTTTTTTTATCCACCTGAATGTATAGTAATAGCTTATATGTGTTTACATTGGATCAGACTGATCGCTACTACTATCATTTAGCTCGTACTGTAACAGCATCATTCTCAACGCTCCTCTTGTTCCTTCTTCCTGTGCCTTCATGTCTTTGTACGCCAGCAGCACCACCATGCCTCACATCCTGAGCTTTATCACACTATCCTGCTCACATCTCTCTGATGTCCCTCATTGTTTATTTACGCTCCTCTCTGCTGTGCCACTCTCCTGTAGAGACACTGCCAGCGGGCCTGTGTGTGATGTTCCTGTCTATCTGTGGGCATGTTTTTAACCCTAACCCTCTCTCTGTCTGACACACACTCTTACTGTCTCTCTTCCTCCTGCTGCTCCCCTTTCTGCCCCTCTCTTTAGTGTTGAAAGAAGTGGCACGAGGGTGGCTTTAACTAATGACCCTCAACTGCTATTTTATTCCTTCAATTTGTTTTCCTTGTCGCTCCTTTTAGTGCCTTTTGCTCTCTATTTTTATGGGTTTTTTAACTGCACTGAGACCGGGCTGTTTATGGTTCAACGCAGAGATCTCAGCCAGATACTGAGGTATTTTGCAGCCTTTGTACATGCGCACAGACAAAGGCAAAAAAAAATCCATGAAACACACTCAGTAGCTGTTTTCACATACACACTCCGGATAATGTCTAGATAATTATGGGAGTCCTCCAGATATTCTCCTGACCTGGCTGTTCACATATGCTCCTCACATCTGGAGACTATCCCTGTCAGACAGGAGGGGGGGCGCGGGGGTCTCCTGAGGTAAGACGTGTATAAAAACAACGCAGAAGTAGCGGATGAAGTAACAGAGTACGCTACATGAAGCTACAGTATGATGAGAAAATCTGATTTTGTGTAGTCCAACCGTATGACAACATCGACAAAAGAGTGGAGAACGTCATACTGGAGAAAAGAAAACATAATGCAGTCGTTTAATTACGTGCATGGAGATCGTAGTGGTCGCGTGCACACTCTATGCACCGTGCATCAGTAACAGTATATAAACGTCACTCCCCCTCCTATTGGTTCAAGCTGAATTCTCCTGAGAATATCCTGCTGCGTTCTCACATCAGCCAACTGGGACTTTCTGCGGAAAAAAATACTAGGGGTCTGGCAGGAGAAACTCCTGGTGATGTCCCAGCGAACAATTTGTCTGTTTGCGTTCACACATACAGCCCCCTCCAGGAAATATCCTCAGGAGATTTCTGCAAGTGTGAAAATGTTGGATCTCAGATAGAGGCACACACTGCGGGGTCAAGGTTGTGCACGGGTTTACATAAACAAGGAAAAAATGTATACTTTAAGTGTCATCTCAAATGCATCATCTCTTCCATGACTACAGAATGAGGTAGCACACAGCTCACATCTGATTAGCTTTGGAGTTGTCAGGACTCATTTCCTGTCTCAGAAGCAGCATTCAGTTTGACAGCAAGACAGACAGACGTGCAGGGAGATGGAAACTCAGCGGGCTAACTGTGAGACAAACCCACAGCCTGTAAATCAGTCTGAGAGGAGAGTTTCAGTGAGTGATGAGAGGACATGCTGACAGACAAACAGGTAGATGCACAGCT